AGAATCCTCCACATAGCTGCCCAATTGCTATTCCTAAAGCACAAGTTTGACTCACTTGCTCAGAAAGTTTCAGTGGTCTCACATCACCTTTAGAATAAATACAAACTTCTTTGTTTGGGATTTAAAGCTTCTCACAATCTATCTTCAAACAATCTTTCTAGATTGATTGACATTACCCCCCTTCACAAACTCTAGCTTTCACTCAAACTGGCCTATTTGCTGTCCCTGTACAAGACCAAGACCTTCTATCTCCTGTCTCTGTGTTTTTCCTTCCCTAGCCATTCATTCCTAAAATACTCTCTCTCTCTCCCTCTCTCTCTCTCTTTCTCTCTCTCTCTCCCTTCTCAATTTCAATTCAAATGTCACTGCCCACAAATAGGTTTCGCAAATCCACCTCATCTCACCCCCCACAGTAGTTATTAATGCTCTTCCCTCTATAAGTACTTTGTCTTTACTTTGTGTATATTTTGCACTTATTTATTGTGGACAAGAAGACCTGGGCTCAAGCCATGCCTGTGAGACATACTGACAAGTTGTTTAACTTCTCAGTACTCTAATCAACTTTTTCAAACTCTAAGTTGCAGAGAAGATACCGATATGCATTGGTAAAGGGAATTTCCTAATTTTGGAGCTCCCTATACTAAAAAAAAAAAAAAAAAAGAGGTACACTGCCTATCCCTATCCTATCTGTGTACATGCTGTATACAGAAGAACATAAAGTACTTGAATGCAGGGACTATTCAGTTTTTTCTTGGTATCTTCAGTGAGTAGTACAGTGTCCAACTTACGGTAAGTTCTTTAAAAATGCTTAATGACTTGAATCTTTGTATCCCCAACAACCAATATGCAATCCAACAAATATTTATTTTGTTTGCTATGTGCAAGGCCCTGTTCCAGGTGCTGAGAATATAAATACAAAAAAAAATGAAGTTTCTGCTCTCACAGAATTTACACTGTACTGGATATACACTGCATGTGCACATAGTAGATGCTTGATAAATGTAGGTTGCATTGAGTTGAATTGAAATGTCCTGGTTCTTTAAGGGTCAGTGAGGGGGTGGAGAGTAGCAGCACCACTTACAGAATAGGCTATGGAAAACTGGGAGCTCATCTTCTAGCAGAGGGGTATCTGGATTTCAAGCTGCTTGTTTGCCCAATGCTGGAAGGAACAAGCAGATCTACTTGAGTCCTGAATAAAAAGTAGGATGCAAAGGAGCCATAATGTGAATAAACATGTGAACTCCATTCCTAGTTCTGGTGTGATCTCTTTTCAGAATTTTTTTCCTGGTGCTTTTGGGACTGAAGGTGGGGTAGGGTACAATGAATATTCTGTGGCTAGAAGGTATTTCTTGTAGGTCCATCTATGATTCTGGGTAACCCTCCTCTGTTCAATCTGGGGTAAGATATAGGGCTACCCTGGAGGAAAGACTGGAATAAAGGTTCAAAGGAAAGCAAAATTGTTGGGGAGAGGGAGGCAAGAGAAATGACAAGGGTGAAGAAGGGAATCTAGGAGGAAATGTGGAGATAGGAGAGAGAAAGCCAAAGATAAAAATAGAAGAGGCATGGCAAATAGAGACAGAGAAAAAACCAAGAAAGGGAAGAAAGCCCCCACTGTTTATCCAACTTCCAACCCTGGGGAATGATGAGGCTTAGAAGGCTAGCTTTGCCCAGTTGGTGCCAGCCATCTAAGCTGAGGCAGTGTCTCCGCTCTGGGAACCCTGAACAAATACGACCTGATCCCCAAATAAAGGGACAATTAGCTGCGCCATCTCGGGGAACAAATCTGCTAACAGGGCAACAAGCCCCTAGGCGCCTGAGGGCTCCATGTTTGCAGAGCGGCTGAAAGGGAACAAATCAGGGGATTAAAAGCAGGCAAGATCCACATGGTGGTACTCACAGTTCTGTCTGCTCCAAACCTTTTTGTCCGACCCCACCTTCTTATCCCCATCTTGAAAGCAGTGGTTACTTGGCCCTGGGGGATAAGCCTACTTGGTTAAAGAGCTGGGCTGAGAGTCAAGACTCCTTCATTCTAGTCCTGGCTTACTTATTGATTTGATGGCTGTCTTGTGCCCTCAGCCAATTTGGGGTGAGAACAATGCCTTTACCTTTTAATAGACAAAGCAATGCAGGACCCAGCATGTCATTGAGGATAAAAATCCAGATGTGATACTTCAGTCTCAATCTCCTTGGTCTTACCTCTCTCCAGAGCCAAGGTTAGGTGTAGAGTAGGCAACTTCCAGAGCGCAGCATTCAACGGGTGTTCAAGGAGGAGAGACTATTTAGTGTTACACACACAATTTATCACTAGAAAATGTGTAAAGTAAGTGATGGAGGGAATGGGAGGATTGTAACTTATCTTTGAGGTCTCACTGAGCAGTGAAGCTAAAATACTTATCAAGAATTTTATCTTTGTGTTACCCTAGACAAGGGTAACCCCGACTGCCTAAGCAAAAATAAACTTTTTAAAAATTGTCTATTCCAATACTAATTCCACTGCTATCTCAATACAATTGAGTCAGTACAAATTCTTCTTTGAATCATACTTTGTTGCAACTGCACTTGTATATAAATAATTATGATGTTATGTTGCTACTGCTATTGAAACAAATTTTTCTATTAAAATGTAAAGTTCTGTTTCTATTTTCATCTTCACACCAGTTAAACAAGAGGCACACTTCAAATCCAGATCTCTCGTGACACTTATCTTAATTCAAGCAGCATATGCCAACCTCCACCCCAAACCCAAGTTGTACTCATTCTACTACAGATTTAGAACCTGGAAGGAAGGTGATTGCAGACAGACCTTATCAAATTTTTTGTGCTGAATGGACAGCTCCTATGGGGGAACCTTATCTCCAAGCCAGTTCTTTCACCTCCACAAAGCTAATTAGCTTCTTCCCTTGCCTTCTGCACTCCACAGTGAATGGACAGATAGAAGGGTGCTAAGAGTTGAAGGACTAAAATGAGGAGATTGTCTTTTTAGTATTCCCTAGTCCTAGACTTTGTTACAGAATGGTTAGGGTCTTGGGACCCCACCACATAAACCACTTTAAAAATATTTTGGGTTTGTTCAAGAGCATTTTGCCTGAATTATTCTGAGAACTAACTTGGTCTAAGACCTTTTGTCACAGATGCTTTGTAGGCCCCTTCACCAGGGATCCTCAGCTCCCCAAACAGGAGGTTATTTGGGCTGCTGTAATCTCAAAATTCATGGGAATATCCAGGCCACTTCAGATACTTAATAATACCTTGGTATAAGGATAATAATAATAAAATGAATTTGCTGAGTCTAGGGACCCTTCCTGACTATTCTTTCCTGTGTTGTAGGATGGGACTAGATTCCCATTGTGAATCAGTTCAATTCTTCCCCTAACCTTTCTCCCAGGGAATAGAAGTAAGAGGTGTGGGTAGAGGTGAGACTGAAGAGACATTGGAAGTTCATGTTGTAAAAAGAATCCTAGAAAAGTAGCAGATGGGTTTGCCCTCATGTTCTGTCCATCTCTAATAGGTATGTGTATGAAATTTCTTCACTGCAGTATGACCTCAATAGTACATGAACAGATGTGTACGTACTCTGCATCAATCCCAATTCTTCTCTTGCAGTTGATCTGCACTAGGGTTTGGGAATTTTTTCCACTGAAGCAGAACAGAAATTTCATCTGAAATTTGTTGTCTTAGTGCACTGAGAAGTTAAGTGACTTGCCCATGGTCACAGGGCAAATATACATCAGAGGCAAGACCTGATCCCAAGTCTTCCTGGTTCCAATGCCAAGTTGCAATACCATAACACATAAGATGCCTCTGCAATGAGGTATTTTGAAACAACAATGCTCTTTTTAAAGATACAAAGAGGATTCCTCTCTCTGTTCTCTGGCTGGTTCATTTCCCTCTGGCTCATTCCCTTTCTCTTTAAAGGTATAAAAGCAATTTAATGAGATATCTGAATACAGATTGATGCACAAAATATGCAAATGATCTGTATTTTACTGCCTACTCTTTTCATTTTCACTCCTGGACACAGCTCATCTATCTGAACTCCAGAGCAGTCAAAAACCCCCAGTGGCCAGCTGTGCCTCTTTTGCCTTAGTTACACCAACACTGCATTTGACCAAGGGCTCCAGATAGCCTCTGGTAGGGTGAGTAGAGGGAGGGCACGAGTATAGAACACTCACTTCCTCTCTCCACTTAAGCTACCCCTCCTGTTCTGTCTCTCCCCTACACACACACACACACACACTCTCTCTCTCTCTCTCTCTCTCTCTCTCTCTCTCTCTCTCTCCAGAGCTAGATTGGGCCTTCGGTAGTAGGCACATGCAAAGTGATTGGAAACCGGGATTCCTGGTTTGCCTTCCCTATGAATCTGAGGAAGGCACTTCTTTGGCTCTTCACCCCATTTTTCCATAGGGAGAGGTGTAAAAAACTGGGAAGGAGGAGATTAATATACTAGTTTATAGGCCAGGAAAGAGGGCAGTTGGCCAAGGATGAGGAGTAGAGTTCTGGGGAGCCAGAGCAAGATTCCCTATCTTTGAGCATCTTACTTAGTCTGACCATTGGGGAAGTAGATAGAGGAGATGGGGTAAAGGTGGGATTCTGTTCTCTCTGCATGGGGATTTGAGGGTAAGAGGTTCTCCAGTGACAGGTTGAGGTTCAGTCCCAGGACTAAACTAAAGCAGCTCCCTTCCCAAATAGAGAGGCAGTTGCGTGGAGGGGAGGGGTAAAGGGCAGTGGGAGGTGGATTAATCCCTTAATTACGCGGTGGTCGGCCCTGGCACCTGCTTTCAGCCCGCCCAGCCCCAGGAGACTTGCCTGAACTGGGGAGGGGGAGTGGAGAGGAGGAGGAGGAAAAGGAGGGGGCCGGACCGAGCGAAGGCGCGGGAAGGAAAGCCATACTGTGACTGGGGCAACTCACAGAGGCTGTGGAGGGGCGCACAACTCTCGGATCAAGGGGCTCGGACCAAGGGGCTGGGACCCGAGCCCCCAACCTCGTCCCAGTCCCCGCCATGCTACGTTACCTGCTAAAGACGCTGCTGCAGATGAACCTATTCGCGGACTCCCTGGCTGGGGATATCTCCAATTCAAGCGAGCTGCTCTTCGGTTTCAACTCCTCTCTGGTCGCGCTCAACCACAGCCTCCTTCCCCCCGGGGATCCCCCTCTCAACGGTGAGCCCGCCCTGCCTCGGGGATTCCACTTCTGCGGGAATGCGCGCTGCTAGAAGGAAAGTCAAACTGCTATGGGGATAGGAGTTTCTTTTTGGGAGGTCCAGGGCTAAGAATTCCCTCATTCCCTTTTCCTCCCCAATCATCTTAAACCGAAAAAGTTTAGGGACGCGGATGGCAGGGACTAGTCGTTATCGGGACAGAAGTTAGGCGTGTTGTTCTGGAATTGCTGGGAGTGCGATTAGGGGTGTGGGGCTGTTGACTACAGCGTCACTGAGATAGAAGTGAGGATCCGGTACAAAGAAATGTCCGTGGTGGTGGAATCCAAAGTAAAGAAGGGGCGAGGGCTAATGAATTACGTAGGGTGGAAGGTGAAGGAATCTACCCCAGACCCCAGAGGCACACCTGAGCCCTGTCCGGCCCAAATAATGCAAATAATCATGAGGCCCAGATAGAGAATAATCTGGCCTCAGAGTTTCTCGGCACATCGAGCGGGATGCTGTGAGTCGCAGGAAGCGTTTAGCCGAGCATTTTAGGGGCACTCCGAAGCCCTATTCTCTCCACTGTGGGATAATGCAGCCTCCGGCTCCAATGGAGCTGAAGCTTGCAGGAGTCGGAGTCATTACTGCTAATTACAGTGATTAATAAATGACTGCGACAACCCGAAGCCCCCAGAGCGCAGCTGGAAGCACGCGGAAGCTGTTCATTAGGTATCTAGGGAGATATATGACCGAAATCTGCCTCCTATCGACCAAGCCTCGAACTTCAACTGTCATTTTTCTTGGGGTAGCCTCTTCATGTCCCTTTCCTCACTCTTCTCCCACCTCGTCGTACCCCAAAATGATTGTTTCTCGGGAGTCTCTTCAGAAAGGTTCCAGTAACCTCTTTGGTCACTCTCGGGTCATTCTTTTGGCATTAGCTCATAGGGATGGGTGGAAGCACAGAGAGGAGAGAATAGAAAATGGACTCTGGGGCAGTGGTGTAGTGGAAAGAGTGCTTAATTTGGGATCAGAAAAATCAGGATTCGAGTCTCTGCTCTGCAACATGCTATTTGTATAAGCTTGGATAAGTTATTTCACCTCCCTAGGTCTCAGCTTCCTCATCTGTAAATGGAGTGGGGTGGACTAAGATTTCCTCTGAGGTCCTTTCCAGATCTAGATACTATGATCTTAAATTGGAAAGCGCGGAAGGAAAAGAAGTGTTGTACTCTGATTACTAAGCGAAGAGCCCCCAGGCCTCATTAACATGCCCAACAGCTATTCATTAGTCTGATGTGTAGAAGCTTCTCTTGGGACTAGAAATGACAAGGGGAGGAATTCTAGGTACCAGTGTCCCGCAGCTGTTGTCCGAAGGAATTAGGCGGGGAGACAAGTCCATAGGATGGGGGGGAGGGAGGGGAAGCCAGGTGGTCTGAGAGCCCTTGTCTTCCCAAGTTCCGGGCATCGTTTCTCGGGGTACATAAGCCTTGGAGCCCCCTCAATGACAGATCCCCTCCTTTCCCCTCTCAATAGCGCTAAACGACTGCAAAGAGTTTCAGTTCTTTCTCAGTCTACCTTCCCAACGAGGGTGACTGAATTATCTGTATGTCCGAACATGCGTTAGAAGGAAGACTGGGGTTGAGAGGAGATTGGGATGTGGAGGCAAAATTGGAAAAAGAAGATTTTGCTCTAAAAGCCAGGATATGTCAGGGCAATGACGTTAAAAACATTTTTTTAAAAATTTATTTGAGGGACGGCTAGGTGGCGCAAGCAGATAGAGCACCGGCCCTGAAGTCAGGAAGGACCTGAGTTCAAATCCGGCCTCAGACCAAACACTTGACACTAGCTGTGTGACCCTGGGCAAGTCACTTAATCCCAATTGCCTAAAAACAAAACAAAAACAAAAAAAAATTTATTTGACAGGCCACATGGCATAGGGGATAGAGAGCTGGTCTCGAAAACAGAAAGACCCGAGTTCGAGTCCCGCCTCTGACTCATGCTACCCAGGGAAGGTCACCGACTCGGTGTGCTAACAATTTTCTAAGCCTGTAAATTCCCTTGCAGAGGTGGCAACCAGCTTTGGTGTGGGGAAATATTAATCCAAGGTATCCCAATGGCAAATACAATAAGTGTTATGGATAGGTTCTATCCATAACACTTATTTAAATCAAAGAGGTAATTTAAAATCCTCCCCCCACGCACACACACATACATCCAAGGGATCAGAGAAGAGAATAAAGAAGCGACTGGCCCAGCTCAATCTTACTTCGAACTTTCTAAGGGAGAGGAAAATAAAACTGAATTTGGAACCAAAGCCCGGAGCCGAAGAGTACTCAGGAAGGGGTCCGGGTTGTTCACCCAAGGGTTATTCGTGGCAGCCTGATACTCTTACTTATGGCAGTAGCGACACCTAGTGGCCTAGACTGGCTACAACTCCTAGTAAAAGGAAGCCACAATTCCCCCCCTCCCACCCTCTTCCCCCACCACACTTTCCCGAAAGTCTTTCTATTCCTTTGCGCCTACCCAGGTAAGCCTCGGTACTCGAAAACTACGTCTAACTTTCTCTTATCTAGTGATAGCCAGGAAACTGGAGAGTCTTGTGGAGTCCCGGGGGCCAGGAATGGAGCAAAGCAAGGTGTGAAACCATATTCCGGTTCTTGACCTGTTCTCAAGCAGGTCCTTTCTCAGCTCCATGCCTTAAGCTTTCCGCGGGATATATCCTTTTCAGAACTAAGCGGAGCCCCGAGTGCCCCAGCATCTCTGCTAGGGAAAGTGATCTTGCGATGTCAAGGCCATGTGACCAGTAGGAAATCTGCACTGTGGGAAAGGGTGTGGAAAAACTAACCCTCCACGTTTGGACTACATGCCTCAGTTTACCCCCGTTTGGGCAGTCCTCCCACCTCTTCCTCATTTCAGGGTCGCGAGGCGGACCGGAGGACGCAGTGCCACGCATAGTGGAACAGCCGCCAGATCTGTTGGTCTCCAGGGGTGAGCCTGCCACGCTGCCATGCCGTGCCGAGGGCAGGCCCCGTCCAGATATTGAATGGTACAAGGACGGTGCACGCGTGGCTACGGCCCGAGAGGATCCTCGGGCTCACCGCCTGCTGTTACCCAGTGGCGCACTCTTCTTCCCTCGCATCGTGCATGGACGCCGAGCCCGTCCAGATGAGGGTGTCTATACTTGCGTGGCTCGCAACTACTTAGGGGTAGCGGCGAGTCGGAATGCTTCCCTGGAGGTGGCGGGTGAGTAGCCTCAGGGCAAGTGTGTAACCTAACTCATGCTTCAGCCGCTTTCACAATCCCAGCGCTTGATGTGGCCCTGGAACTTTACAGACCCTTCTCAGGTCGGCTCCCATTCTCTCCATACTTAATTTTACAACGAACCACAAGTTTCGTTCTTCTCGATGAAGTGGCAGACTCCCTCCCCTGTCCATCCAGATCAGCACCTGAACTCTGTACTTTACCCTTGCTTAGTCCTCACTTATTTTCTGGACCATGTATACTTTTTTTTTTAATCCCCTTGTCACCTCCTCCTCTCCTCTTCAGTACTAAGGGATGACTTCCGGCAGCCCCCAGTGGACGTGGTGGTGGCAGTGGGGGAACCTGCAGTTCTGGAGTGTGTGCCACCCAGGGGCCACCCAGAACCCTCTGTGTCCTGGAAGAAAGACAGTCTTCGGCTCAAGGAGCAGGAAGGACGAATCACGGTGAGGAACTGGAGTCTTGGGAGGGGTGGGGCCACCAGGGTGGAGGGGAGGATCTACCCAGAAAGAATGTGAACACGGTATAAGGGACTTAAAATCATAGCATTTTAGCGCCTGAGGGACCTTAGAGAGCAACTAATCCAGTCCCACACATTTTACAGAGGAGGAAACTGAGGCCCTTCAAGGGGAAGTGACTTAGTCAAGGTCATAAATGTAGTTGATGACAGGGATAAGACTAGAACCCCGGTCTTCTGACTCATACAGTAATACTTTTTAATCAGTGGAATTTAGTCATAAATCAAAATTAAGAAGCATTGTTTTAATAATTGCCCACTCTGGGGGCAGCTAGGTGGCGCAGTGGATAGTGCACTGGCCCTGAAGTCAGGAGGACCTGAGTTCAAATCCGGTCTCAGACCAAACACTTGACACTTACTAGCTGTGTGACCCTGGGCAAGTCACTTAAGCCCAATTGCATAAAAAACAAACAAACAAAAGAATTGTCCACTGTGGGTTAAAGGGCTGCTCATCTACTAAATAAGAGCATTTGAAATTCAAGAGAAATAGATTGTAAAACATATCAAAAACTCTGTAATTCACTAATAGAAAGGGTTAGGTAATCAGACGTTGGTCACTGTGAAAAAAGCAGAACAAGATGATAGTGAAGGGAAGGAAGGAAGGAGACTGAGGGAAGTGGGTAAGAAGTTAGGGATGTAAAGTGAATTCTGGTTGTCCGGTGATCTGGACAGGGTCAAGTATGGGCAAAAGATATACCTAGGCAGAAGAGGATTGGAGCAGAATAGGGGACTGTAAAGTCCAAAGGAATTGAACTGTCCCCACATTCTCCAGATTCGAGGTGGGAAACTAATGATGTCACACACACTCAAGAGTGATGCTGGGATGTATGTATGTGTGGCTTCCAATGTGGCAGGTGAACGTGACAGTGGGGCAGCTGAACTTGTGGTTTTTGGTAAGTACAGGAGTTCCTGAGTTTGGGGAGGGGGGAATGAGGGGCTTTGTAGACATCTCTGTAATTTCATGCCCATTCCTCTGTGCCAGAGCGCCCCTCCTTCCTGCGCAGGCCTGTGAACCAGGTAGTCCTGGCTGATGCCCCTGCTGACTTTCCATGTGAGGTGCAGGGGGATCCTCCGCCACATCTGCGTTGGCGCAAGGAGGAGGGGGAGTTGCCCATAGGCAGGTGAGAAGCCCCCTTCTTCTTACTCAACAGGACCCCCAACCATCAAGAGAACTTCTCTTAGCCTTCCTCCAGGGGACTGGGATGCAGCCACAGTCACCTCTGTGGTTTCAGTATCAGGACTTACAGAAACTATGTCCATTTTCCTTTTCACCTCATCTATGGTGTCCACATTCCCCAATGTATTTCTGTAGGCTTCAAGTCCATGACTTGCCTGTGTACCTGACCTTGGTGACTGTCTTGGGAAGGTCACAGGCTCCTCAGAGCAGAGTTTCAGGGTTGGGGAGGGAAAAGGGGCATAGCTGTGACCAATCCATCCCTGGTGGGTGGGTGGGTGGGGAGTGAAACAGGTATGAGATCAGGAGTGACCACAGTCTTCGGATCGGGAGAGTGAGTGCAGAAGATGAGGGAACTTATACCTGTGTGGCTGAGAACAGTGTGGGCCGAGCGGAGGCCTCTGGCTCTCTCAGTGTCCATGGTAAGAACCCTGCTTGAGGGTGGAGGGAGGGACAGGAAGGGATGAAAGGTGGAATCATTGAAGCAGGAATAGGAGGTAGCAAGAGGAGGCCTGTGGAGAAGGTAGGTAATAGAGAGATAGGGGGAAAGCATGGTTGGAGGACTGGGGACTTATTTCATGAAATGGGAGGAGGCACTGACCAAGGTCAATGAATTCTAGAGGGAGGGAAAGAATAAAGAATACAAGTGGGAAAGAAGAAAAGGATAGGCTACTTACTAGACAAATTGGGCCTTTCCCCCACCCCATCAGATCTCTTCTTGACTTAGCATATCCTCTTGGGGCTGGAGCCATCCCCTCACGCCTGTTCTCCTTTCTTTTCTCTCTTCCAGTCCCACCCCAGCTAGTGACACAGCCACAGGACCAGATAGCAGCTCCAGGAGATACTGTGACTTTCCAGTGTGAGACAAAGGGGAATCCTCCACCTGCTATCTTCTGGCAAAAGGAAGGTAGTCAGGTAGGTGTCTGTCCAGGGGTACTCTGGTAAATGTTAAACAAGCAATTCTCTGCATGTGACACTTTTGTTTTCTTGGGGTTTTTTTTTGGCCGCATGTGACACTTTTAAGTTTAATCTGTATTAATAACATTTTCTCTATCATTTTATTAAGTCTAGACAACCAACAAAACAATAAATCAAGTCCTAACTTGTAGTGTTTGCTGATTTGTAAAGTGTAAATTATTCCACTGAAAATTTAACAGTTGTTACTCTTGATCACACCCTTATGGCTATCCCTAGGGTTTACATTTCTCTTTCCCACAAATGTTTTCCCAAATCTTAGGCCACTTGTAACACTGTTCCCTCAAGCCTCCACCTCATCATGTATGTTCATAAGTCTCCTACCTAGAGCATTTTACCTCTCTTGGGTACCCAGTTTTAATCTAACTCATTTACTAGTTCTTATGCCTGGTTCCACATGATAGACAACTCATTCTTTTTTTTTTTTTTTTGGTGAGTCAATTGGGGTTAAGTGACTTACCCAGAGTCACATAGCTAGTGAGTGTTATGTGTCTGAGGCCGAATTTGAACTTGGGTCCTCCTGACTCCAGGGCCAGTGCTCTATCCACAGCGCCACCTAGCTACCCCTCTCAATCATTCTTACTTGTTACCTTAAGTTAAAGTGTGGACCCTAATCTTGGCATCTTTTTCCTACCACTTGGTCTCTATTTCTAACAAAAACAATGACTCTTCTTCCTTTTCTAAAATAGGGCGGCATCCCTTGCACCACCTTCTAGATTCTCTTTTCCATAGCTCACTGTGACTATTTCTTGTTATTATGGGCACTTTTTTGAGTTGAACAGATCACTAGATGTGAAGTAAGAGAAAGAGCATGAGATTTGTACTTGGTTTTAGTCCTGGTTTTAGCTTTAGGGTTTTAGACCTGGCTCTGCAACTCACTACAGTTCGTGAGACAGTGAAATACCTGGGCCTCATCTGTAAAACGTAAGGGTTAGACTGGTTGGCCCCTAGGGTCCCCTCTGATGATCCTACATGACTGTTTCTTTGCCATGTTTGGATGCTGCTAATGGTTCCCCAAACATTTACAAAGGAAAGATTGATTCTCTGCTCTCACTTAGCTCAGATTAACAGTTCCAATTTCCCTAGGTGCCTGGCCTCATCAGCTCAGAGAAATTAACATATTGAGTATAAATATACGTTGAAACTGAAACTCCTACAAAGAGAAGTAGGGAGAGTTAATAGAAGTAGTGTTAATCAATACAATAGAACATAGTCAGCAATATAGAATGTAAACCCTTCTTTCCATTGGTGAACAGGATGCAATTTCCCCCTGTCCCATTCCTATATTCCAAATCTCCTAGAATCATTAAATGTTAGCACTGGAGGAGACCTGAGGGATTATCTAGTCCAATTTCTTGATTTTACAAGAAGGAAAATTAAGGCCTTGTGACTTGACCAAGGGTACACAAAAAGTAGCAGAATCAATACTGGAAACCAATTAAATTAATCACACATTTTAAAGTGCCTACTATGTGCACTGGTGATTCAAATAAGAAACAAATACAAAAATGAAACACTCCCTGCAAGATGAATTTATATTCTACTGGAGGTTTGGTAAGATGATGTACCCAGATAAACATAACATATGGTAGGGTGTAAAGGTGGAGATGGATGGAGATGACCACAAAAGGGAAATCCAGACAAAGTGGCCCAGGAGTATTTGAGATCTCCTGACTACAGTCCTGCGTTCTTTCCAATGCTTTTTTTTTTTTTTTTTTTTTTGCTTTTTGGTGAGGCAATTGGGGTTAAGTGACTTGCCCAAGGTCACAGGGCTAGTGAGTGTCATGTGTCTGAGGCCAGATTTGAACTCAGGTCCTCCTGACTCCAAGGGAGTTCTATCCACTGTGCCACCTAGCTGCCCCTCCAACACTTCTTGATGCCTTCTTTCCCACATATCACTGTTGTTCACTTTAACCAGACACATTTTAAATCTGGAAAGCAGAGCGCCTCCTAGTGGTTATCTGTCCTTGACCCTATAAGCCTGTTCTCTCCCTGGAATTTCATTGTTTTTTGGTCTGATGGGGAAGGAGAGCTGTAGGTCCCCAAAAAGGATACAGGTGTCTCCTCCCCTGGGTTCTCAGATTCCTGGTTCTATCTATTTCTAGATTCTGCTATTCCCTAGTCAACCCTCCCAGTCCACAGGGCGTTTCACTGTCTCCCCAAGTGGCCAACTCAACATCACTGAAGTGCAGAGTGGAGATGCTGGTTACTATGTGTGCCAGGCAGTCAGTGTTGCTGGCAGCATTCTGGCCAGGGCCTCACTGGAGGTGAAGGATGGTGAGCATGCAATGGGGCACATGCAACTGGAAGGAGGCAATGGCTAAAAGAGAATGGCTTTTTTTGTGTTCTCTGCAATGTGAATGAAGCGAGGGTGGTTTCTAGGGAAGATCCTCAAAGCATGGGAACCAAGAAAAGAACTTAATGAAGATAAATTTGTGGAACCAAGCTAATAGTACCAAATTGGGGCAACCTTCTGCTTTTCAAATGGCTTAGGGAAGCAAAAGTAAGAAGGTTGCAAATTGGATCTAGGGACTTTCTGAGTTGGTTTAGCATTTTCTCCCTTAGTTTCCCTGGATGTCTTTCCTCCAATAATCCTCCATGGGCCATTAAATCAGACTCTGGCATCGGGATCCTCTGTGTGGTTACCATGCAGAGTGACTGGGAACCCTCAGCCCAGTGTTCAGTGGTTGAAGGATGGACAGGGGCTGGACAGTGGAGACCTGAGACTAAATCTATTGGCTAATGGCACCTTGCATATCACCAACTTGCAGGTGAGTCAAACCAACCCAGTGGGGACCCAGAAAGACTCCTCAGAGCTCCTCCTTCTAACATTCCCAACCCAATGGCCATGTATTAGATCTCTAATCCCTACATGTAACCCTCAGCTGATTTCAGATGTCCCTGGAAATTTGCACAGTATTTCTCCCATGCCTCTGCATCCTTACCTCCTTTGCCCACCTAATCACCATTTAATTCAGTTGTCAGTAACCTGTCTTTTTTCAGGAGGGTGATTTGGGGCTCTACAGCTGTGTGGCCAAGAGTTCCAAAGGGCAGGCCATATGGAATGGCTGGCTAAGGGTACAAGGTGAGATATCCCTTTTCCCAATGCATTTTTTCTATTTGTCTTTATCTAAGACCTTCCACCATGTCAGTAACTTCCTCCCAATATCCCAGGACAGACTCCATCTTCCATACATTCATTCAATTTATGACTTTTAAGAAGGGAAGCAGGAAGCTTAGCATAGTGCCTGACACATAGTAGGTGCTTTAAAATGTTTATTGAATTGAACTGAAGAAGTCAAGCTGTGAAACTTATGTGAGTGGGGAATCATTACGCTCTCTTTTTCCCTACCATCAACATTACTATGTCTCTGGGAAGTGTAGTCTCATAGCAGACTATTATCTTCCATAATACTACTAAATATTTAACAAATGCTTTTTCATTAATTCTTTCCTATAGATGGTGTTGTGGGGTCCACAGGGCTTCCTACTGAGCCCAGTGGTCCCCCTGGTTCTCCCTCTCAGCCAGTGGTTATTGAAGTCACCAAGAACAGCATCACCCTGACCTGGAAGCCCAGCCCACAGGCTGGAGGGTCACCAGTCACTTCTTATGTGATAGAGGCCTTCAGGTGAGGGTTTAAGGAAGTGGGGGGTGTGCAGCTGATAGATATTGGGTTCTAGGTCCTGTCTGGGGCCATCTGTTCTGGAGATCTTTGAAACTGTAGTCAGGGGCTCTCTAGGTCCCTTTCTGGTTGGGGATGGAATGGGGACAGAAAAGTTTTGGAGCAGAGTAGAATCACAGAAGTCCTGTCAAGCTGGATGAGTGTTCCTCCCTTAGTCAACCTTCTCCATTGCAGCCAGGCATCTGGTAACACTTGGAGGACAGTAGCAGATGGTGTACAGCTAGAGACACATACCATCACTGGTTTGCAGCCCAACACAATCTACCTATTCCTAGTTCGAGCAGCGGGGACTTGGGGTCTCAGTGAACCCAGTCCTGTCTCTGAGCCTGTTCAGACCCAGGGTGAGTGAAGATCATGTCTTTTGATATGGGGAAATGGGTAGGAGATTCCAATCCACACAGCCCCCATCTCCAGCTCATTGCTGCATACATCCCTAGAGGGGATCTAAGTAAAAGGGAAAGCCTTCCTACTGAGGAGAGATCTCAAACCTCAAAACCCTTCCCTTTCTATGTCACCTACCCTGTGGGCGGTAGGTGGCAGATGTCAGGACTCATTCCCGGAAGCTGCTCTGCTGTCCTGCTCTCACAGAGCCCTAGGCTATGCCCTGGAGAACTGGCTTGGGGAAGTATCAGAGGAGAAGCAAGAATTATAGCCAGTCTCCTCTTTTTCTCCTGTGACCCCTTCTGAGGGGACTCTCTGATTAGCAGACAGCGGCCCCTCCAGGCCAGTTGAGGATCCATGGCAAGGGCAGCGAGGTCTGGCTGATGTGGTTGTTCAACTGCAGGAGCCCCTGTTCCTTAGTCCCACATCCCTGCAGGTGTCCTGGACTGTGAGTAAGGGGACAGAGTGGAGGGGAGCACAGGTAGCGATTGGGATTTAACATCAGGAGGCAAAGCTCAAAGGACTGGGTTTGGGAAAGTGAAGTCCATTGGGTGGAGGAGGCTGCTCTGACCTATGGAGGTGTTGAGGTCTTCAGAAGCTGCTAGGGCCTCTCCTCCCTCTCCAGGACTCTTTCTCCACTCTAGCATGCCTCTTTCTCCAGGTGGATGGCCCAACTCAGTTGGTGTGGGGCTTCCGGGTGTTGTGGAGGGCAGTAGGCTCAAGTAGCTGGACAGTTCTGGACATAGGATCCTCAGGCCAGCGGAATGCTGTGCTGAGAGAGCTGCCGGCAGGTGCACAGATCCAAATCAAGGTGCAGCCCTACAGCAGGGAGGGACCAGGGCCTGAGAGCACTGTTCTAACCAGGAGCACCCCTGAGGAGGGTGAGAAGGGACATGGAGGTGGAGGGCAGGAAATCAAGAAGGAGTAGGCAAGAGGGATTCAGGGTACCAGGGAGGGGGAGAGCTGAGGAGATTGAAGTCTGAAGGGGATGCTCATTGACAGCCAAATAATGGGATGTGTGGTTGGGGAAACCATTCCTTAGCTACCAAGCTTGTTTATGCAATGGTATTGGGGAAAAGATGTTTGGAAATCAAGGAACTGAGAGCATTCAGTGACTGTCTGTGTCCTTCTTCACCATGCCCCCACCCTGAACCAGCCCCCAGTGGGCCCCCCCAGGCAGTGACAGTGGCCCTGGGGGGTGATGGCAACAGCAGCATCACTGTTTCCTGGGAGCCTCCTATCCCCACCCAGCAAAATGGAATCATTCAGCAATACCAGGTAGAAAGCTTGTGTGTGTGTGTGTGTGTGTGTGTGTGTGTGTGTGTGTGAGAGAGAGAGAGAGAGAGAAAGTATTTCAAAATATGGAACAATAGAGTCTGGGATCCCAGACACCGGGGAGCTTGGAAGGGCCTCCATGTAAGGATACAAGACTTAGAGGGAAAAAAGGACAGGTGGACAGAGAGATAGATACGGAAGGATAATGAAGCCAAGGAAGAGGGTATATTTGGACGTCTTGGCTTTGGCATATCCCAATTGTGAATTCTGTGTACAACATCCTCAAAAAGCAATCATCCAACCTCTGACTGAGCACTCCCAGCAATAAGGCATTCTCCCTGCATCCCAAGGGAGTCTCTCCATTTTTGGACATTTCTAATTGTTAGGAAGTTTTCCTTATATGGAGCTGAAATCTGCCTCTCTGTAATTTCCACTCATTGTTTCTAGTTCTAATCTCTGGGGCCAAGCAAAACAATTCTAATCTATCCCTCTTCCACATGACTGCCTTTCAAATCCTTGAAGTCAGGAATTATGCCCCTTCCCCTCCCAACCCCATGTCTTCTATGGGCTCAATATACCCAGTTCTTTCTGAGAGATTCTCAAATGTCATGGTTTCTAGTCTCCTCTACAGTTTGGGTACCTGCTTCTGATTGTGCTCCAGCTTGTCAGTGTCTCTCCTAAAGTCTAGTTGTCAGAACTAAACAGAATCTGCTCTCTGAACAGGGTAGAGTACAGAGGTCCTCTCACTGCTTTTGCCTGGGACATTATACTTCCCGAATCTTGAGAGTGGGAGGGTTGGGAGGTAGTAAGAGGTTCAAGTGTTAGCTGACGAGCTGACCCCTTCCTGCTATATCATGCCTCAGTTTCTAAGGAGGGCAATGACCTAGATCCACACATACTGTTCTATACCCTACCTAACCTCTCATGGTCTTTCTAGATTTGGTGCCTGGGCAATGAGAGCCGCTTCCACCTGAACCAATCCGCTGCAGGCTGGGCACGGTCTGCAGTGTTGCGGGGACTACTCCCAGGCCTCCTTTACCAAACCCAAGTGGCTGCAGCCACCAGTGCTGGCATGGGCGTCGCCAGCCCCCCTGTGTTGATACAACTCCGTAAGTGATAGAAAAAGGGGGTGTGGGGACTGGGATGCTAGTTGGGAGATGGGATACCTAAGGGGGTAATTGTACTTCTAGCATGAAGATGACCCCATCTGAGTCCCCGAATTTCCCTTGCCTTTCCATGCTTTGACATCTCCCTGTTCTGCATAGCGCTCCCGCGGAATCCAGAGCCAGGGCCTGGGCTGGAGGTAGGTCCAGGGCTTGCAGAGCACCTGGCAAGTGTGCTTCGGGAGCCAGCCTTTATAGCAGGTGGTGGAGCAGCCTGTGGGGCACTTCTCCTCGGACTCAGTGCCGCCGTGTATCGGCGCCGTAGACAGCGCAAGGAGCTCAGCCACTACAATGGTGAGTAAAGCACTGATCAGGAAGGAGGGGGCGGCAGGGATTGAAAGGAAGAAAAGAGATCTGCAGGAGGGGATGAGACTTAGAAGTCTGTACCTCCAAGGCTAAGTAGGTCTGGAAGGAGGAGGAAAAACTGAGAACTCATCTCAGGCTGAGGGATTCAGGGATTCTCATAGGTGAAAGTGAGATAAAGCTAGGGAATGGGGGGGAAAGTTTCGTTTTCCTGACCTATCATTCCTTTTTCACCTGTGTCCTGTCCTCTTCCTACCCTTCTTCCACTTGTGTCTTTTGGAAGCCTCCTTTGCCTACACGCCAGCAGGTAAGGCAGCTCTACCTAGGATGGGGTTCAAACCAGATGTCAAAGTTGGTACTCACTCAATTACCCAATCTGTCTTTCCCAGTCTCCTTCCCCCACAATGAGGGCCTCTCCCGAGCCAGCTCCAGGTAATCCCTATAATCATAACCCTGCCAGAACTTGTGTTTGTCCCCTCATCTCCTCTTCATATTCACTTTACCTCACCCTCCCTAACTCTGCCTTCACATCCCCACCACAACCATCCACAGAACCTTGGCTCAAACAGGATCTGCCTCAGTCCAGACCCACTTCTTCTCATTTCAAATCAACATTCCTAAGATGATTACCCCCAAAGATCTTCTACCAAATTATACTCCCAATTCTGGCCATCCCCTCACATCCCCCACTACAGTTTCAGTGATCTGTCTCTTAGGCCTCCCATGGGTCTTGGCCCAGCCCCATACCCTTGGCTAGCAGACTCTTGGCCTCATCCACCACGAAGTCCTACAGCTCAAGAACCCAGGGGAAGCTGCTGCCCTAGCAATCCTGACCCAGATGACAGATACTACAATGGTAAGGCATAGTGCCACCATCCCAATTCACTTCCTCTCTTTCATCAGCCAATTGGGACATGTTAGAAAGAATCCAGGAACCTGAATCCCAGAACCTGCATATTCCTTGCTTGGGTGGGGATTGTGGAGGAGAAGAAACTTTGTTGCTTTGCTTAGGCCCTAGATAGGGAAGAGAGGGAAGAAAATTTAGTCCACCACACCCGTTCTCCTTGTGGTCCTCCTTTCTTTCTGGTCTTTCTTTGTCCCCCTGCCTCTCTCCCTGGGTTTTCCTTTTTTTCTTTCCCCAGAGGCAGGGATCTCCCTATACCTGGCTCAGACAGCTCGGGGGGCCACAGCCCCAGGGGAAGGGCCCATCTACAGCACCATTGACCCAGCTGGTGAGGAGCTTCAAACCTTCCATGGGGGCTTCCCCCCTCAGTCCCCTGAAGATCCGGGGGCCTGGACCACCCAATATGCTCCACCAGAATGGAGCCTGGATGACAGTGGTATGCTTTCTATACATCCCCAAATCCTAACCTTCCCATCTCACCCCAGCCCAGGGATTACCTATGATTTCTTTCCTCTATACTTGATATCCTAAACCTGTCCTAGCCCCTATTCTTCAGTTAAATAAGCCCTTCCTCCAAGATTCTTCCTGCCACCTTTTAGTCCTTCTTTCCACCACCAACCCTATCTTTTCCTGTCTCCCCTCATACCTCCTCCTTCGAACAATACCTCTGTGTGCCCCATATCCTTCCTCCTCTCAGGCCCCAGGGGCGGGAAATTAAAGATCCTGGGAAAGCCTGTACAGACCCCCTCTCTGAGCTGGCCTGAACCGTTGCCTCCACCACCCCCTTCCTGTGAGTTGAACTGCTTGGAGGGGGCTGAGGAAGAGCTCGAGGACAGGTGAGATGGTCTCCTGCCCTGGTTCCAAGCTCATAGGAACAAGGGATTAGACTTGTTTTAGTTTGTCCAAAGGACAGAATTAGGAAGAATGGGAGGAAAATTCAAGGGAGCAGATTTTGGAAAATTGGACTCATATGATTTAGAGCTGGAAGAAACCCTGGAGAACCTAATAATTAGAATTGTCCCACAGTTGGAATGAGTTCTTTTGGTAGGCAATGAGTTACTCATCCCTGAAAATCTTCAAAGGGATGCCGGATGACCACTTAATAAGGATATTGTAGAGAGAGTTCTTGGTCAGATGCGGGGTGGATTGGATGACCTGAGTTCCCTTCCAACTCTTCTGTTATTAGACAGTGATGCCTAGGGCGAACAGGAGGGCAAAGATGTTGGTTGGAAGAGGGAGGAGCTGATGGTAGGAGAGCTGAAGGGAAAGTGAACAACTTTACCCTTCCTCCTCTTCTCCTTGAACCCAGTTCAGAACCTGATGAGTGGTGCCCACCATTGCCTGAAAGAAGCCATCTGGAAGAGTCCAACCCAAGCAAAGGCTGCATGGCCTCCCCCTCTCGTGGAAATACTCCCTCTCCTACTCCTTCTTACGGAGATCAATCCACAGTGACCCTTACTCCCTCACCCCCTGAGCCGTCACAGGCCCCTGCTGAAATTGTCTGTATCCACCACACACCCAGGTACGAATCCCAGGAATCTTGAGGATGCTGGGGTTTGTGGTTGGGTCATGGCTGAGTATGGTTTATACCCTCTCTTTATGGAAGAGTGAGCATAAACTAGAAAGGGCTGGCCTGCTGTGGACTGAGTCTCTGAAGACTGTCTCTGTAGGGTGATGTTTCCCCATGTACTAACAGATTCATGTCTTTGCAGTCGGGTGCCCACTGGAGCAAGTCCTCCTCTCAGCCTATCCCAGTCCAGTTTGAGTGGCCTTGAAGGGGGACCTGTTAGCCTGAGTGCCAGCCCAATGCCACCTCGACACCTCAGCCCTAGCCCCGTCCCTAGTACCACCAGCACCCCAGGTGAGTCTACAGTCACTGAGCCCTTCATATAATTCTGTTCCTAACCTAACATTCTTTTCTCATCCTCAGCTATATGACAGCCTCTGATCTGAAGTTCTAGCTTCAAGCCCTTTCCCAGAGCCAGTCCTTAACCCCAACTCCCTCCTCTCCTCAACAATGTAGTTAGAGCCAGACTGGCACCTAGAGAGATGACTTCCTCACCCCCAGGACCTCGTGCACGAACCCGGAAGAAATCCAAAGCTGTTCCTTATAGAAAGGACCGGAGTCCAGGAGGTGAGTAGTATTACAGTAGTTGGGAATGGTTTTCTATGGGATAGTTAGGAAATGTAGGATATTATGGTGGTGGGCTAGATGATGAGGAAAAGAAGGTCCCAGATTTGGGGAGGAAGAGCCTGTCAGAACTGTTTACTCCTGGTCTCGTTATGCCAGGAAGACTGTTTGAATATAGGGGAAGAAGGTTGATGATGTGGACAAAGTGAAGGAGTTTTCTGATACCAAAAACTCTTCCTTCCCAGATTTGCCCCCTCCGCCCCTTCCTCCACCAGAAGAGGAGGCTAGCTGGGCCTTAGGGCTTCGAGCAATAGGAAATGTCTCCTCTCTGGAACGAGAGAGGAGAGGGGAGAAAAGAATGGTTCGAGCTGTACCCCTAGGGGGTCATCATGCTCCTCCCCCTGATGGTAAGTAGTCACTGGGTAGATTGAAATTGTTGATTGTAGATTGTTGTCCAAATGTAGGACAACAAAGGATTAGTGTGGGAATTATAGTGTAGAAATTGTTTACCAATTTACAAATTTTTCACTGTTTTTCAACAGAGGTTGGATTTTAAATTCCCAATTCATCCCCAGTGGAACTCATGAATTTGATTACTTTCAAATCTCCTGCCCTCCTCCATCTTTCATATACTCAGTTCCTGTTACACATAAGCACTCTGTTAGGTACTCGACCCTCATCCCTCATTTTCTGCTCTTTCCTGCTCCACCTTCTCTCATTAGAGCATGATCATGGGTACAGTGAGGAGAGTGGTGGTCATTGTCTGTCCTTTTCCTAGTACCTGGATCTCCTTCTCTTTTCCCCTACAGAGGAAACCTGGCTTCCATATAGCAGACCCAGCTTTTTGCCCCGGAGTCAAGGGGCAAGTGCCTGCTCCACTGCTGGCAGCAACTCCTCCAGAGGCTCCAGCAGTTCCCGGGGCTCCCGAGGTCCTGGTCGAAGCCGTCGCCCAAGGGGGGAGCATCGAGAAGTGAAGGTGGGGCCAGAAAGAGGAGGAAAAGGCACAGGGGAGGTAAATACTAAGAGGTGATAGAGGTGATGGAGAACATGGGGATAGGAGGAGGACAGAGAAGAAAGTGAATAATTAATTGCATGAGGAAGTATAGAGAGAGGTTTTGAGAAGGAGAAATGAGCTGCCAGAGGGTCTGTAGCTTCAGATTTTTTTTTGTCGTCATTCACCATACTACCCCCCCATCACACACACACACACACACACACACACACACACAC